TCAAATGCAGAGGACACATTTCGTTGTTGCGCACTGTGTGCTGTGGTGTGTTGACAATGATCACTAAATTCAAATTCTCTAATTCTAGTCTCAAATTGGGGTGCAAACTGAGGCAGAGCATGGGGGAACCATGTCAGGCTTGGGGTTCTTGAGGGTCCCAGGATGCAGGTCGCTAGCCGAGTCGGCCTCGGAAACTACAGGGCAGGGGGCACCACTGGGACTGCAGGGAAATGGGGTGCTACTGGGACCTCAATGGCTGGGATTTGAGGGTGAAGTGGAACCAAAAGGGCTAGAGCATAGAAGGGAGGTGAAACAGGGACAGGAGAGCCCCGTGGGGCCTGCTGCACAGGAGGGCCCTGAGGGGCTGGTTTGGCAGAACCTGGAATTGGCATGGTGACCATGGATGGTGTGCCCCCATCCTCCACTCCGGTAGATGGAGATATGGTGAACCCCTCTCTTGGACCCCCGTCGATGGAAGAGGGCACCCTAGGATAGGGAACTGTGGTGGTCCAAGTTCGATAAGGGAACCAGAGTCCATGGTGTGAGACTCAAGGCCAGACCTAGGGAGTCCCACTGCAGATCTTCTAGAGGGTCCTCCTCTGGGTTCACCCTCTCGGGGTTGGTGGTAGTCAGGTTCAGGACTGGTGATGAGTTGGGGTCAAAACATGTGTCGGCGAGCAGGACACAGGCAAGCAAGCAGGAGCAGGCGAGGCAGCAATGTCCATGTGCGAGCAGGTAGAAGCTGGTGACTGCTGAGCAGGAGCTGACATGGCACCTGGCAACAAGTGAGTCTGGGTCGAGGCACCTGGCGGCAAGCGAGGCTGGGCCGGGGCACCTGGAGGTGGACAGAGCACAGCAGGGACTTCTGGTGGCAAGCAGAGCATAACAGGGCCCTCTGGTGGAGAACAGAGCACAGTGACAGATTCTGGAGACAGGCAGGGCACCCCGGAAGGCAGGCGGAGCTCCCCGGGTGCATCTGGAGGCAGGTGGATCGGAACTGGGGCCTTCGGAGTCAGGCAAAACTGAAGCAGGGCTTTCAGAGATGGGCACAGCAATAAGACCCTCTCTGGGTCAGGAGCCTGAGCCGGTTGGCTCTTTTGCAGCTGTGAGTGACGAAGGCCTTCTCTGAGTCGGACACTCACAGAGCAGCAGAAGTCTCCCTTGGGCCATATGATGGCAAAGTGGGCATGGCAGCATTCTCAGCAGTGCAGGGCTCTATGGGCACAGTGGCGTCCCTCTCTGTGCAGGGGCGTCTGGACCTCCACAGCACTGCCGTTGAGCCTGGGAGACACAACCAGAACCAGGATGGGTTCGGCAGGGATCTCATTTGGATCAGACGAGGAGGTGGCCACAGCAGCGGAGAGAATGAGCTTGGAGTTGGGATGGGGTCAGGTGCAAGTTCAGACTGTTTCTGCAGCCTTTGTGTCCTACGGCGGGCGCTGACAGAAACCGTTTGGGAGTAGGTGAGTAGCTGCGGCAGAGCGATGGTAACCTCGCTGGTGGCGGATGCTGTGGTCACGGGCTGAGGGGGCTTCTCTGGGTCAGGAGTCTCAACTGCAGGCGAGACTCTCACCAGGTCCTCAGCGGTGTGCAGGCATTGCTCTCTCTGCTCCCTCTCCCATGCCTCGACTCCCAGGGCAAGTGTCAGCAGCCAATCGTCTGTCTGGACAAGGCCATTTACCAGCTCCGGGTCTCTGCTGCTTCTCACATCTTCCAGCAGGTTCTGACTCCGGCTCCTCAGGACCATCCAGCAGGAAGTTGAGGGCCTCCCCAGGATCACTGACATTGGGGGCTTCACCCGAGATAGATCAGGCACAGCAGCGAGTATAGGCTCTGCTGTGGGTTCCACCTTCTTCTTCTGTCGCTGCTTCCCACATCAGGAGCTGGTATGGGGTAGCGAGGAACTGGCTGGTGAATCCCCCACTGGTTAGCCCCTTTTGGAGCTCTAGGTTTCTAGGGGAAGCAGTACAGGCAGGTCTTCCTTGCTGCCTAAGGAAGCCCAGTACAGCGTCCGTATGGGAGGGGTGATCCACATACTAACAACCTGCTCAGAATCTGTCTTTGGGTTCCTATAGTTTGCTGTTGCTCAGGGGGTCGAGAAGAGGGTTCTCTGTGAACCACCTAGGGTAAGATCGGGTAGAGGCCCGAGGCGAGAAGAACATGCAGAGATAGAGAAGACATCTGTCCCTCTGGATTAGCTGTTAGGCAGCTTATAGAGTCCAGTCATTCTGTTACATTGGGGCACAGAAGGAGGTGAGGGCAAGCATTGGGTGGACACAAAAGGGGGAGACAAGAACTGGAGAGGGCGGTAAGCATGGGACATAATCCTGGTTGATGTTGCTACAAGCAGGTCGCAACGTCAATGGCTGGGCTGGGGAGCTCAAGACAGGGAGGCATATTATACACTGACAAGGGAGCAGACGAGAAGCAGCTGGAGTGAGTCACACAGGGCTGAAACAAGAGGTAAGACAAAAAAGTCATGGGGAGAGCAGGGGGCGTAAGCATGGCGTGACATGTGAATCAAAGGTGTGCTTATTTTGATGTTATATTTTCATGTAGCTAATATTTGAGTCTGTATCGGTCTGTATATGGGTGTCTCAAAGTGAGTTTCACAATTATGTATGTGTCCAGGGAGTTGAAGTCCAAGTTCAACGTGGAGGAAATCCCAACTGTGGTGGTACTACGGCCAGATGGTTCAGTCCTCTCACCCAATGCTGTGCCAGAGATCTGCAACCGCGGCCCAGACTGCTTCCAGAACTGGAAGGAAGGGGCGGAGCTCATTGACAGGAACTTCATGATGGCTGAGGAGTTTGATGACACCAAGATGAGAAGCATGACAGATCCACTGCGTAGACTCAAGTACAAAGTGGACAAGAAAAAGAAGAAAACGGAGAGTAGAGAAGAGGATGACGATGAGGAGGAAGAAGAACAAAATGACAATGAGGAGGAAGAGGAGGAAGACAGCTCCTGCTGATATACGAATAGCTAATATCAAAAATAATATCTAGTAAGTGTCACATTGGTAGGGGCTTTTTCCTTGCCACTGTTACCTTGTTGGCTTGCTCTCTGGGGGTTTTGGGCAGTGATAATGTAAAGTGTTTTGAGACAATGTAATGTTGTGAAAATGCACTATACAATTAAAAGTGAATTGGATTGAACTGAGTAATACCTCGGGTCTGCATATTGTACAAATGCTTTAAAAACTTTAAATAAAATGAATGTGTCAGATGGAAAGCAAGGCCGCCTTAGAGTTACCGTATCTGTGAGATCATTACCCATGAGGAGCTATATTGGCTGATATGTTACATGTGGGAGCGGATCTGGTTCCAGCTCGGCACCTTGATGACGTCACCACAGCCAGACGGGGTGGGAATCTCTCCCTGTCAGGAGGTGTGATATGTACAGAGCTACAATACAAAAAGATAGAGTTCAATGTGTGACAATTAAATACACTTGGATTCACCCCTGGATACAATACACCACAATGAAATGAATTGGAATTTATTGAAGTGTCTTAGTTTGAAGTACATACCGGTATTATAAAATGCAGTTGCAGGTCAGTGCAGACATGCATATCTGTACCTAAATGACACATTTACACTTTATGAACTAAAAAAGTTATTTTACTATTACTTAACTAAAAACATCACTCTGCAGCTTTTCCAGTAGAAAGCTGCAGAGTAATTGTAATTAAAGTTTTACTTTTTTTCTGCAATGGTCTGAGATGGGGGTTCATGCACATAGTAAAAGCAGTGTCCCTATTCCGTTTATCGCCAGTGAAAGACACCTGAAGGCTCAACTGTGTGCGCAAATGGTATTATAGCTGTGTTTTGTCTAAGTATTAATTGAAATCTTAGTGTTGTCTTGCTGACACTTCATTGACTCATCCTCTCTCATGCAAACAGACAGTGCGATGCAAATTCCTGATAAACAAGACGGTAAAATGGAGATATGTCTCGATCACCTAGAAAGAAAAAGCTGCTGTAAACAGGCATCTGTATTGAGAGAGACAGACTATAGAGACTTACGTGGAGACAAGAGGGCAAAAGGCTGACTTATAAAGGAATACAGAGAAAAGGAGAGAGTTATAATGGCTGAGATATAAAGGGATCAGGAGGAAGGGAGCTGTGAGTTCTGTGTTGTGTGTTGTGGTACATTACAACATCATTAAGACATAATACAGAAAAAGGTAAAGGGAGGACAAAGAAAGAAAGAAAGAAAGAAAGAAAGAAAGAAAGAAAGAAAAATCAGCCAGAAGATAATAGAGGAGAGCAACCAAAAAAAACTTCTGAGGGTCAGAGGTTGACTGGCTGCCTGACCCACCCTGGCACGCTAGTGAAACACAATCAGGATGTATAACAACAGTGCCCCCCTTTCACACCTCTTCCACGTAGGTCACTCAGGTCTCCACTTGGACAGCACCCTTTCCCTATCACAGGTGGATGAGCGCTCTCCCACCGGCCTTCCTAACCGTGGTCAGCGCTTCCCCGTGCTTGGATCCCCTCAGTCACGGCGGACTTTCACATACTGTAACACACTCAAACACTACCAAACACATAACCTTCAGCAACAAGCAAAGCAGCAGCAAGAATGAATAAACAGAGAAGCCTATATCTCACCAAAACAGGTCTGGCAAAATCAGTCTCAGGAATGTTCGGGTCTGGGACAGCATGGTCTCCATTGTTCCTCGACGAGGGACTGGGCCAATCCTTAATCTCATCTGGATCTGGTCCCATCAGGCTCTACGCCTTACCTACTTCTATCGCAGGACCCCATCGTCTGGAATAAACAAAGAACTCAGCTGCCCCACATTGGGCACCAAACTGTGGTAGAAAAATTATAAATCAAGCACTTAGAATAAAAGTATGGACCTCTTAGTTTGGTGAGTAAAGAAAATCTCTTTTATTCCAGCAAGTTCAGCAAAGCGCTCCCATCACACTCTGGCACTTGGTACCAAGTCACCCCCCGCACACAGAGCAACCAGTAGATAAACCATAACTCCCAGGACTTCTAAGTCCTGATTGGTCATGAAACATCAACAAACTAAACCCAACCGTAAAACAAAC